CTCTGGCAACTTATTTATCTGCTTCAAGTGTGGGAAGCTAGGTCATATGGCACGAAAGTGCAGGAACCAACCAGTGGATCATCCTCCACAAGCTAACATGGTTGAGGATCCACTTGTGGCCGTGTTAACTGAGGTCACAATGATTGGAGGAAGTGATGAGTGGTGGGTAGATACTGGTGCATCCCGCCATGTCTGTTATGATCGTGCTATGTTCAAAACATACACGAATGTTGATAACAAGAAAGTGCTGTTGGGAGACTCTCACACCACTACTGTTGCTGGAACTGGTGATGTGGAGCTGAAGTCTACATCTGGGGGGACTCTGATTCTCAAAGGTGTGATGCATACTCTAGAGATGAGGAATAATTTAGTTTCAGGTATTCTTCTTAATAAAACTGGTTTCACCTAGACTATAGTAGCAGACTTGTATACTCTTACTAAGAATAGGTTATTTGTAGGGAATGGGGACACCACTGATGATATGCTTAAATTAAATGTTGATTTTCCATGAATAAAATTTCTAATTGCATTTACATGTTGTGTGCTTTTAATATTTGACATTCTAGACTTTGTCATATTAATAAACGTGCAATTACAAATTTGAGTCATTTAGGATTAATTCCCAAGTTATCTAAAAATGATTTTGAAAATTGTGAATCATGCAGTCAAGCTAAAATAACTAAAAAAATCACATAAATCAGTAGTGCGAGAATCTGAGCTTTTAGATTTGATACACTATGATATATGTGAATTAGATGGAACGTTAACTAGAAATGGTAAACGATATTTTATAACTTTTATAGATGACTGCTTTGATTTAACTTATGTTTATCTTGTGAAAAATAAAACTGGTGCACTTGATATGTTTAAAGTCTATGTAACTGAAATTGAAAATCAATTCAATAAGAAAATAAAGAAACTCAGGAGCGATAGAGACACTGAGTATGATTCTAGCATGTTTAATGATTTTTATAAATTAAAAGGCATTATTCATGAAACAACTGCACCATATTCACCTGAAATGAATGGTAAAGCTGAAAGAAAGAATAGAACATTAACTGAATTAGTAGTAGCTATTATGTTAAGTTATGGTACAACACCCTCTTGGTGGGGTGAAATTTTATTAACTGTGTGTTATGTGCTAAATAGAGTCCCCAAGACTAAGAGCAAAGTATCCTCATATGAACTCTTTAAGAATAGACAACCTAATTTGTCTTATTTCAGAACTTGGGGTTGTCTGGCTTATGTCCGGATACCAGACCCCAAGAGAGTTAAACTCGTTAGTAGAGCCTATGAATGTGTATTCATTGAGTATGCTATAAACAGCAAGGCGTACAAGTTTTATGACCTTAACGCTAAAGTAATCATTGAGTCTAATGATGCTGACTTTGATGAAAAGAAATTCCCTTTTAAATTGAGGAATAGTGGGGGCACATCATCTAGTCACACACCTATGATTAGAGATAGTGATGATGGGTTAGAAGTAGAACCTAGAAGAAGTAAGAGAACAAGAACTGCTAGAGAGTATGGATGTGATTATATGGTCTATACATTGGAAGATGATCCATCAACTATCCAAGAAGCTTTGACTTTCTTGGATGCTGATTTATGGCAAGAAGCCATAAATGATGAGATGGATTCTCTAGAGTCTAACAAGACTTGGCATTTGACTGACTTGCCACCTGGTTGCAAACCGATTGGTTGTAAGTGGGTTTTGAAAAAGAAACTGAAACCTGATGGCACAGTGGATAAATACAAGGCTCGCCTTGTAGCCAAAAGTTTCAGACAAAGAGAGAATGTAGATTTTTTCGATACATTTTCACCTGTTACTAGAATAACATTCATTAGAGTACTAATATCGCTCGCTGCGATACATGATTTAGTAGTACATCAAATGGATGTTAAAACCGCTTTTTTAAATGGTGATTTGGAAGAAGAAATCTACATGGAACAACCAGAAGGTTTTGTAATCCATGGGCAAGAAAATAAAGTCTGCAAGTTAGATAAGTCATTGTATGGTCTTAAACAAGCACCTAAATAGTGACATGAAAAGTTTGATAACTTAATCATATCGAATGGGTTTAAGGTGAATGAAAGTGATAAATGCATTTATTACAAATCAGAAAATGACATTTACACTATCATATGTCTATATGTAGACGACCTACTCATATTCGGTTCCAACATTCATGTTGTGAATAATGTGAAATCAATGTTGTGTAACAACTTTGATATGAAAGACCTTGGAGAAACAAATGTAATCCTTGGTATAAAGATTACTAGGTCAAAGGAATGAATTTCTCTGGATCAATCACATTATGTAGAAAAGATCCTAAAGAAATATAAATACTTTGACTGTAAACCTACTAGCACACCATATGACCCAAATGTAAAACTTTTTAAGAATACTGGTGAAGGTGTAAGATAAAAGAGTATGCTAGCATCATTGGCAGCCTTCGGTATGTCACTGATTGCACTAGACCCGACATTGCCTATGTTGTTGGACTATTGTGCAGGTTTACCAGTAGACCTAGTATGGAGCATTGGCATGCTATTGAAAGGGTAATGAGATACCTTAAGAAAACCATAAACCTTGGTTTACATTACCAAAAGTTTCCAGCTGTTCTAGAAGGATACAGCGATGTTGATTGGAACACTCTTTGAGATGATTCCAAAGCAACCAGTGACTATATATTTAGCATAGCTGGTGGAGCTGTTTCTTGGAAGTCAAAGAAATAGACTATTTTGGCTCAATCCACTGTGGAAGCTGAAATGATAGCACTAGCAACAGCTAGTGAAGAAGCAAGTTGGCTTAGAAGCTTGCTAGTTGAGATTCCCCTATGGGAAAGACCGATACCAGTTGTGTTGATCCACTGTGATAGTACTGCGGCTATTGCAAAGATTGAGAACCGTTTTTATAATGGTAAGAAACGACAAATACGTCGTAAGCACATCACTATTAGAGAGTTTCTCTCTACAGGAGCTGTTAGAGTGGATCACGTACGCACTGAGAATTACTTAGCAGATCCTTTGACGAAAGGACTAGCTAGAGAGAAAGTCCATAATACCTCTAAGCTTATGGGACTATTGCCTTTAGAACGAAGATCACTCACGATGGTAACCCGACCTAACTGACTGGAGATCCCAAGAAGTAGGTTCAATGGGTAATAACAAGTCGTGAAGTGATATGAGAATGAACATGCTATGAAATTATGAGAAGCATGATTCCTGCAGTATATGTAAGGATGAGTTAAACTCTTAATGAGATCTATACTCCAATTGGAGTGGAGTACCTAGACTACAGGAGTACTCTTGATAGACTCACCTATGTGAATGTGAAAGTGGGGGCCGCTTTCTATGAAATTTAAGGGGCATAAATTTCTAGAGCGTTCACTAAATTGGGATAGACGTGCATGGCCTTTAACGCACGAGCTTTATTGAATACACCTTTGAAAAGGTTGTGTGTGGTTTGATGTCGGAGATGGAGTTCAAGACTACGAGTCACTCTAGTAAAATCTGGATCTTACTCACTATGCAAAGGTTCAAGTCGAACGACACCTTTGTTTATGCACAATCTTAATGAGACCACATAAATTCCCAGAAATCGTTTTTTAATTTCAAGTGGGGGATTGTTGGAACTTGTATAGTTTGATGCCATTAGTGTGGACCTTAGGATGTGAAATTGAAAAACTCACAAGTCCCACATTGGAAGTTTTTGTAAAAACCTCACAAGTCCCACATTGAAAGATTTTGAAAAAATCTCACAAGTCCCACATTGGAGGATGCAAGAGTAGTGACAAAATCTCATTCTATAAATAGAGGTCTCCCCCTTCATTATTTTTTGCACCTGAAGCTTGTACGCTTATACAAGCTTCTTTCTTTCTCCTTCCATAAATTCTGCCGACGCAATTTCGGCATCCTTTCTCTCCCTTTCTTTCTGTGGCACTAGAGTTGGAACAGGAATCCAATATTGTGGGAAATTCGGAATACTGGCACTGGTAGTCAGTTGTTGGAATAGAATTGGCATGGGAAGCCAATATTGTGGGTATTTGGAATTGGCACTGGAAGCCATATTTTTGGGTGTATTCGAGAGCGATTCTTACAGTGCAGTAAGATATCGTATAACAAAGAGCTGGTCTGTTTTATCCTGGGGACGGCGTGGTTGATAGTCTGCTTGCACCTAGAGGCAGTACCACGAAATGTCTTAAAGAGAGCGACCTGGTCGTGACTCAGCCAGTAAAGATTATCTCGTGTCATTGTTGCGGGCTACCGATACAACAATTTCTACTTGGAAAGCTCGAAGAGCAATAGATCCTTAAATATTCTTGTCACATTAGATTATATGATGCAGCATTTTAAAATACTGCTGACATAGTTATATTATGTTTATCCTAATTATGAAGAATATGGGTAAAATACAGTTAATTAATAAAACATTATTTGTATGTATGATGAGCTATAAAATACTAATAATATAGTAGTGATATTTATATCAAATATCTTATATTTAGTTATACATCACTTTCATGTTTTACTTGTGTAGGTAAAAAATGTGGAGAGAGAATATTTGAGATATGGGTTTTTTTTTTTGTTTTCTCTTATTATTACCCAATGGAAAATGGTATATATGATGATGATATTGATGGAGCTGACGTAAATTAACTTTGTTTTTGTTTAGTGACTTGGTGGGTTGGTGGTGCTGGTTGGCATGAGTGGATTAGGGTAGGAACTGGGTCGCCATTTCAAACACTACAATTTATAATGATTGCTAACATATGTAAGTTTTAATTATGCTCTAATGCTTCTCCGAATCCAATGTTGCTCAAATTATGTCGGATAAGAACAAAGATATCTTGTCTCAAATCATGTTCTCTACTAATGATATTGAAATAAAAACAGAAAAAAATAATAAATATTTAATTTTCTAATTAACATAACATGTTATTAATGTGAGACACAATTCATAACATAGTTTTGGAACAAGCTGACTTTAAGTAAGTGGAGTCACATGCAATTATCCATAATGGTTTAAAGTTTAAACATTTATAAGGGTACAAAAAGTATGTCAAAAGTGTGTCTCAAATTCTATCCCTATCTAATAAAATTATGATACATCCATAGTTGAAGATACTTGTAATATGATCTCTATTCTAATAAAATAAAACAAACATACATTGATGTGATAAAGTTAAATTTTGATGGTTGACTTCAAACCTAAAAAATCAAAGAAATCACCTGGGTTAACATAGTAAATAGATAGCTGAGTTTTCTTAAACATAATATCAGTCAATAGTTCAATTAATGTGTATGGTAATTTGATTGGGAGAGAGACAAAACTCATTCTGATATCGATTGGTGGGACAACCTTAAAGAAAATTCAAAGAGAATCTGAACATAAATAAGGTATCATCAAAAGGTTATCATCAAGGTTAATGAGAAATATTGACAAAAACTAAGTACCTTAAAAGCATATCCTTGATTCGTATTTTCATCAACTATATTGCTTCCTACCTTCAAGTATTTTCATCAAATGGGGCAAAAGCATTATGTTTTTTGATTAGTATAGAAACCCTGAAAAAGAGAAAATTAAATTAAATGATCAATTGCATGATCTAGACAAGGATATATACTTGTTCAGAAGAAAAAAGGGCAGTGTTATGCCCTCAAGGGGTTTCTCAAAGACAAATTCACACAACTCTTTTGGCCTACTGGCCACCTCCAAATCTGTCACCATCTGCATGGGAATAACTCTCTTTTTTTATCGTCAAATGTTAGTATGTTAGATTTTGTGGTGGGATTTGAGCCCTCAACCTCCTTATCACTCCACTCTTTGATCGGCATGAGAATGATTAGAATAACCAAATGATAGTGGAGGTGGACAGAATGCCAAAATAGCTATGGAACAAGGTCTATGAGAAACCCTGAGAGCAAAGAGAAAACACCTAGGGAAATGGAAAATTTAGGGTCAGGATTAGTTGAAGAAGAATTATAGGTTGTGATAAAGAAATGAGGAAGAAACAAAGTTTTGTACAATTGGTTTTGAATATAAGACTGTGTTTTTGTAGTGCATCAGCGTGCATGGAATGTACTGTTTATATATGTGGGAATAGGTTTGGCATCAACAACATTATTCTATATACAATATTTTTACTTCAACTTTGTCATTTGAACACCAAATTTTAAATATTGTATATAATATCTAATACATTTATTTCTATATCTTACTTACTTCATATTTTTCTTATCCCTAAAATACATGAATAAACCATTGAACACAGTATTGGTGTCTATGTTTTGGTGTGCATAAAACATTTTCCCATTTACTTTACCTAAAAATACAGTATATTCGATATATTCACATTAATTTACACTGTATATATTAGATATCAAAAACAAATTTTGGGCTATGTTTGTTTTAAAGAATTTCAATAGCTTGGAATCCATCTATAAAAGTTTATGTGTGTATATATATCATCTTATGTTTGTACATTTATGACAGAAATCCGTTTCTCTTTTACATTTCAACTGGTTTTCTGGCAGTGCTTGTTAAAGAAAAAGGGAATTTAATTCTTAAACAATGTTTAATGTGATTATAAGTCTACCTCTCGCCTGAGCACGAGAGATTAGCGCACAAGCGACAATTCCATGACTATAGACCACACTCTTTGTGGGTCTCTCGCCTGAGCGAGAGGATAACGCTCAAGCGAGAATAACAAGCTTGAATACCAAACTCACTGTGGGTTTCTCGCCCAGGCGGCACCTATCGCCCAAACAAGTTACATAACATCATGACTAATTTATATTGATGCCTTAAGATTTTTTATGTGTCTGTTAAATTTTTCTGTATTGAACCTCTTAATATATATTCGGTGCTTTAGAACCTTTAAGAAAAAAAAAGTGAGGTGATGTGATTAAAAAAACATCTACATCAAGCATGTTCCTTAATTCCTTTTTACCATGCTTGTTATGTATGTTCTAATGCTTGCCTTGTGATTTCACTGTGCTTTTTTGACTCTGAAAAAGGAGAATGCAAAATGGGTTGGCCATACTGTCTCCCACTCAATTTTGTAATTACTATCTTTGTCAACTCACTCTTTATTACTTCAAACACTTTGACATTTATTTTTCCCCATTTTTTAAGCAAATATGGTTTCTACAACAATTTCGCACATAAAAGTTGACAATAAGAGAAATTATGGATCCTCCTTTATTTCTTTTTCTAAAAAGTTGTCAAAATTGAATTTATAGATTGTACAAATAATGTTAGTGGATGAAGGAGGTTTAGAACTTGAACAATGTAATAATGAGATCTTTAAATAATATTGGTGGGGAGAATTGAAGGAGGTTTAGAACTTGTACCGAAATTTTCCATACTTTCATCTAACGAAAAACCTCACTGTCTTTTCAATGTTATGAGATCTCTACACTAAATTTTATCAATAATTGCTCTCTTTAATACTCAGCCCATTTGAACAAGGAGTTTCCTTGACAAACCTTAACTGTTAATACCATTGTCTACTCTAACCATCATAGTTCAAAAGAACTATTATACTTCACTTTAAAGAGTATATTCACAGCACACACCTTGTGTCAATAATGTCAAAATTTATGTGTCACACTTCTTGCATCCAAACTAATGCAAGTGTCATACCAAGCATTTGTACCAATGCTAGTGTTACACCCGTGTCTAATTCAGTACTCATGTTATACTTTGCATCTCTATCAATGCATGTCTTATATTATGCATATAAGACAATGTTTGTGTTATACCCTACATCAAAGTAGCAATTAACATCTTTCACCATGACGTCATAGACAAGCCATACAGATACATCACTTCCCATCTCAAATGAGATTATCCTCTCCAATATCTAGAAAGATATTGTCGGCATTTGTCTCATAACTGGATGCTCCATGTGAGTCCTTATATCCACCTCGGTCCGAATCCAGTACATGGACTTTTGGGATTATGAATCTAACATAGCTTTATCTCTACCACGGTCCCTCCATATTTCATTCTTCTTCAACTCATATAATATCATCACACAATGCCTTCGACATGCCTTGTCCAGCCAACACAACATTCACCCTCCTTTGCCACAATCTAAAGTTACTAGTTCCATTGAACTTCGTCTTTAAAGCCATTTACTAATGGTTTTAATATCAATTATTGGTGTAGCAGAAGCGGTCATTACGAAGTGTTGGATACAAGAAATCAAATAAAGGACAGAGAATAAATAGAAGAGAATAAGACAATATATTTATTAATGGAATTTAGCGAATTTGTATCTGTGTCGCTGGGAGCGTTGAACGACTATCTCTATATATTATTCACATTAAATTAAATAAAAGAACAAAGATTAGATATAAGAGAATAAGAAACGAGATTTTTTAATGAGGGTCGGCCAATTTGTGCCTATATCCTCAAGAATGCTAAGCGACTAACAGTATATATTATTGGAGAATAAAAACTAAAAACTCTTGCATCTCATAAATATTTGGTCTATGAGGTGTTTCTAATTGGTGTAAGTTGTAATAAGTAACCTGTGCCTAAGATATAGGATTGATCTCCCATCTTTATTTCGATCATAAGGAATATAAGACTGTATATAATATATTTCAAGTATGGTGATTTTAGTAATATGGTTGTATTTTTTCAAAAGAAAAATTCATAATTTCACATAATCATTTTCTATTACACAATCATCACACTTTTATGGAGTGTAAAACATCTTCATTCATGTGAATCATAAGCCTGTGTTCCCAATCTTCTTATTTTATCTCAATCTTATTCGTTCAAGGGCAAAGTGATACCCTCTTGCCTGAACTAAGACCCTTAAACAATATCACTTCCTATACTGGTTCAAGAACTTCTAATAATTAGTGCTCATGCAACTCTTTTCATTAAATATGTTAACATACACTCTCCTGTATAAAATATATTGAATTGTCAAATATCACTTTTAGAGTGTTTGTGCATACCAAAACCAGAGGAAATATTGCAAAAAACTAAGTTCCGCACAAAAGCAACGATTTTGTTCCTAACAGATTGATCTTCGATATAAATGGTAGCGAAATATGAAAAATTTATTGTGCTAAACACCATTCTTGCGCTAGCGCAAATTGGAATTTTTTTTGGCGAAAACATTGTAACGTCTGCGCTAGCGGAAAAGGGAGGTGCGCTCAGCGCAAGGCGGTGCGCTGAACGTGGGAACCATAATTTTGACACTATTTAAGGGGTTTAATTTGGGTTTGTAAATAATTTTTTTGAATAGGATCACTTTGTACTCAATTTCTTTTAGTTTTTAGGGTAGTTTGACTCACTTGAGTCGTGAGAACAAGTTATAGTTATAAGTACTAGATAAGTTAATATCTATGCTCAATCGTATGGTTCTATCACCTCATGAGCTATATTTTATCCCTCTCTTACTTACATTTTGTGAACATGAGTAGCTAAGTTCCTTATTTATTGAGATTGAATATGATACAAGCTTGATGTATACACATTCATTTTATATTAGTTCATGAAGTTTTGATTGTTTTGAGTTATATATGTGCTTAATACTTACTTTAAATTTGATCATCTTATTGTATGTTTTGTGAATGAAATTCTTGGCAAAATCTATGCATGACTCTGACTTTCTATAACTTATCACTTGGTATAATTGTTAGACATGGATTTATATCAAACTTCCATTTCATCCATGTTGTTGTATTAGTTACTAGACACAGAGCTAATTCGATTACTTTAAAACTCTCAAACTTGATAGCATATACTACTAGATATATAGATATGTTTAATTATTTATATATCTTCATCTTATTAATTTAGTTGCTAGACATAAAACTATTTTGATAAGTTATTAACATAAACCAAGATGTTGGCTGTTAATACAATTGAGGTGTTACATTTTACTCAATTTCATATGCATAGACTACTAAACATAGAGGTATGATATTGCAAGTAATAATTTTTCATCTTGTGTGTAAAGTTACTAGACATAGAACTTTATTGCAAAAGTTACTAAACTCGCTAAGACATTAGTTTTTAGTACATTTAAGGTCATTTATGTGGAAGAATCATTGTTAAATGAATTAATGTATTTGAATCATGTGTATTGATAGTGAGTAGTAAAATTCAATCCCAACACTTTTATTTCATGTAGTTTAATCAATTAGTTAGCAATTTGTTAATCAAACAATACAACCAAAACCCTTTTTAAAACAAACTTAGAATATTAATTTTTAGTTGAAAGGCTAGTATCAAGCAAGTCTTTGTCGATTCGACAACCCCTTACTTTTTACTTATTTGCGACACTATTTGGTAATTTCTATACCAATTTGTCGGTTAGCAAGGTAACGTTAAAATATATTTTGATATTTTAGGATAATAATGTATTGGACTAGTAATTAGTCGAAACTCATTGATATTTTGCATAACAAAAACAATCAATGTAAATTAAATTTTCATAATTAAAGTATGTGTAAAATAGATTAGTTAGTTAGTTAGGAGTTAGGTAGAGTTAAGTTTATTGTATTTTCTATATAATAGGTTAATATATTTTTTTTTTGTAATTCAATTCATTCAATTCTACTCATTTAATAAATGAAATACAAATTTGTTGTTTCATTTCTAATAAAACTACAAAAAAAAAATTAGTTTTAAAAAATGTCAAGATTTTTATTAAATTTTTAGAGGAAACTTTTGAAGTAAGAATGCAGAAAATTTATTTACATGATCTTGAAGTTTCAAAGACATTCTCAAGTAACCATCACTGTCTTCTGAAATGAAAATCAATGAAGCAAAAAATGTAGCTGTAAAAAATTGAACTTGTTGAACATAACATGGAAAACACCTTCATGCATAATTTGCTAAGAAATAATCCTTAAATTGAACATGTATGCAAATAGGAACATCATGACCCACCACCTCTGAGGCATTTCTTTATAAGCTTTTGATCCATTTACATTACACACAACCTCCTTGTCATGATTTGAACACACTGTTTGATTCCTGCATCCAACAAGACTATTAGAAAAAATAATGATAGACATAGTTGTGTAGTGAATAATGAGAAAATGTTATATAAATCGAAGTCGTGACTCGTGATTACAATTATATTGTATTTA